GGCATTTAGTCACAGTGCTTAGCCCTGGCCTTCTCCTCCGCTCCCATTCTGAACAGGAAAACAGCCTTTTGAAGATTTGGCGTTGGATACTTCGTTTTCTTCTTTCCTCACTCCTCCAAGCCACTCAGCCAGCCTTCCGTTTGGAATTCCAATGGCCGCAGGGAGTGCCCCACAATTGAAGAGTTGCTTAAAATCAGCCTTGCAGGGTTCTCCCAACTGCTGTGGGTGGGATTGGTCCAGGGCAGGAATGGCAAATGAATTTAACCACACCGGAACATGGGCTCTTGGAGCCTGCAGAGCCGTGCTGAGGTTTCAGAGTCTGAATTCAGCTGAGAAAGAGAGAGTACTGTGACTGATGCGTGCTGTCTGGCACAGGCTGGAGACGGGGAGACCAGGAGCTGGGGCTGCCACTTGTATGCCAGGGCTAGGTCAAAAGCACCTGCAGGAGTGGGCCAGTTCCAGTCCGAGTGCACACACTCCTCCCCTTTAGCTGTGTTTTGGCACAGTTGTGTAATCGGCACCACAGAAGCACCTAGTCGCCAGATGCCCCCGAGCCAGCCCCCAGCCGCAGCTTTGTGCTGAACACCCGGAGAGAAGTCAGGGTTACCAGGCAGAACATGACACCTGGGTTAGCCACTTTCACTTGAGGGTCTGTCCTGACCTGAACCCCTTCTTCGTCTTTCTAGACACGTCCCCATGACCTTTTCCAGAAAAACCAGAGCCTTCCCTGTAGTTTTCAGCGGTCCGTTTCTCTTGCCTGTAGCAGAGCCGGGACTGCCAGGGAGAACGGAGCCTTCCTTAACACCCTGAGGGGCTGCCAGGTTAGACTCTGACTTCTTTGACAGGACCTCGATCAAGTTTTTAATTCCAATACAAGGACAGTTCTGAATCTCTCCTTGCTGTGACTTTAAGGGTTCAGAGTAACTCTTCAGAACTGCTGGGAAGTCAGGGACGAGACAGACCAAGGGCCTCTCGGATACCCCTCATCTCCTCTTGGCTGCCCCAGGCAGAGGCTGGCTAGGTGCCACGTCACAGGACTCTGAAGGCAGAGCAGAAGCCTGGGTACCTTCCCGCTTCAGAGGTCATCCTAGCCTTGACCAAGACCAATTCAGCCAGCGTCTCGCCACGCTGGTGTCAGTCTAGCCATGGTGTTCCTCAGTGGGGGGGTCTAGACATATGTCAACCCTGGGGTTTAGCTGAGGGCAAGTGGGAATGAGTCTGTGCCTCCCCTCCTGTCCTCATGACTAGAAAGGATCCACGCTCTTTCCCTAAGAGACATCCTTGCACTTTCACTCAAAGGGCCAACCTCTTGCTGTATGCCTCTATCTGGGGTGAGGGGCAGCTTTCATTGTCCCCAAAAGGGTGGAGCCAGTGCCCCAGCAGTGGGGACCCTCATACAGGACTCCTTAGGTACCAAAGAAAGCTGAGGGGTGAGAGGTACAGCCCATTGCCTGTCTGTACCCACACTGACCCCTGGGAAACAGGAGACCTAATATGACCCCTGACCTTCCACCCTTCCAGATCCTTTCTGAGACTTCTGAGGAGTCAGACTTGGGTTAGGACTGGGTACTGGAAAAGGAGGACAGGGAGAACATAGTTTGCTGTTTCCTCTTACCAGGACTGGCCCATTTCCCAATTCAGCGTCCTGCACCACTTTACACAGTCTTCCTTTCAGCACTAGTTCAGGTGCAAACTCGGACAAAGAAGAGTAAGCGGGGGCGGATCCTGGTGTTTTGAGTGGTTCCCATACTCTTTGAAAGGGTACAGAGGCTGCCGTGGCCTCTTGGCAGTCCCGCTAGCTCTGTTTGTGTGGCTTTTAAGCCCAACGCTGCATTTCGGACATCTGAGGTACGTCACCGCGTACCTAACTGCACTTGGCCAGAAACGGGTTTTCTTCGGAGGGTTTTCAGTCATCCGCTTAACTGTCGTCAGCCATCATCTTCTTTAAATCACCGCAACCGATCTCAAAGGATGAGCTTACACACATTAGCTGCTTTTCTTCCCCCATCTGGACATTCTTTCGCTCAATTATGCTTGCTGCTGCAGCTTAGAGACACGTCCCGAGACACCCAAATCCACTCCCGCTTCTGATAAACAACCAGAGTCGTCCTTAGCCTCCTGCTCCCCCTGGAACTATCCCACAAGCTAAAGATGCAAGTACAAAAAGGAACCATTTTCCTAAGGGCTAAAATCTATACACAAGAAAGTAAAGATTTCCGCGTAAATTTTACTATTTTATTTGTGAAAAAACTACAAGCAGAATTCATAAATAGACATTTCTATTTAAAGCAGGAAAATGATAAAGTGGCTTCTAATAACATAGTCGTGCACATGCCAGTAACAGGAATATATTAACATCTTTTATTTGCTAGACAAAGAGCAGTGTCCAATATAAATTTTCCCAAAACATTTAAGACCTGTGAATTTCTGACCAGTTCACAAAACCACCAACTGACACTTTAGCATGAAGAAAAAAACAAACCTAACAGACTGTCAGCTCTAAAGACGTTACAGAGCAGAAACTTCCGAAAGCGTTATACAAGCTGTCTTTCTGGGCAAATGAAAAATATAGCTCGTATAATACATTAACAAAAATTCACAAGATAAGATTATGTTTTGACATACTTAACAAGCATTCTCTATTTGTCTCCAACAAACAAAGCTAAGGAAATAATGTAACCATCTTTACACAGTAAATTAAGGTTACAAGTCATACACAAGAACAGAACTGCTTGCGCATTAAAAACTGTTCAGCTCCATTGTCATACTCTAAATGTTGGCTCTTAAACCATTTTCGGTTACATACAAGCAAAGGTTATTATATATTCAGCAATTAATAAATTTTCAATAATTTAAGATACGGTAGCTTAAAAAAGTAGACTGAGAATGGTCTTGATAAGGCAGGTGGAACATTTTAGTGGAACTAAACTCACAGAAGCTTCTGCCAATGTTTTTTAAAGATCCAGATTGAAACTGAAAGGTTTTGATTAAAGTATCTTGTGGGTGTCCAGATGTCTTTACCGTTTTTAAAAAACTGCATGACTCGAGCAGAGCAAGTCAGGTAAGCTCTGTGTGTGCGCGCACGCATGTGAAAGATCCTGTGGCATTAAAACAAATGGAAACTTGCAAGTGTAACACTGTGCTTTTTTGTTTTGTTTCGTTTTTATAACCTGCTTACTGTGCCACTGAATACCAAGTATTTCTGGTCCTCTTTTAATATATGTCTTTATAATCTACACTAGTGTTTTTACGAGCTGCCTACTAATTGTAGGGCAAATTGCAAATGCAAGAAAGTTACAGGAATTCCATTTCCAGAATTACATGGCTGAGGGATGTCATCAATTTCGGAAATTAGAAGTTTTAAGGTACCTACCGCCTCACTACCTCAACAGACGACGCGATGGCAGCTAGTGGCCCGGCACCGTAACATCTGTTGAGAGAAGTCCCACTGTTAGCTGCAGGTCTATCCAAATGCCAATTTCATCTCACCTGTTCTAACGCAATCCTCCCTTCCTTCACCCCGCCCCATTCTTTCATGTATTGATTTATCACGGAGGCAAAACTGAAAAACCAAGACATTGGCAATGAATTAATTAGCAGCCTATGAGTAGCTGGTTAATCAGCTTTTTCCACTAATCTAGGGGTCCAATCACTTTACATGAAACTAATTTTGAAAAAGTACACAGTGTTTCTGAACAAAGTGCATACCAACACTTATTGGTTCAAAAAGCAGTGCAACCCACATGAGTTTGGTGGCATTTAAATTTTTTTGTAAAAAGTTAATTAAAAAACGTAGCAATTCCTTACATCTCTGGAAAATAAATATGGCTGACTAATTTACCCTCCCTGAGACCCTTAATAAAAGGAATATTAAAACTTTAGAAGGAATGTCTTTGCAATATCCCACTAATATTAAAATGTGGATTTAAAATTCATAGTCAAATCACTATGTATTATATATTCTGATGCTTACAGAAAGCATCTGATTTCCTTTGGTTCATTAATAAATACTTTAAAAATGTATTTAAAAAGATAGCATAGCTTGCATCCCAGATACAAGCATTATTTTAAAAAGAGGGGAACAATTGTCCATGCACTTGAGAATAGGACCACAGCAACAAATGGCACTGCTTTATCGTCTATACCTTTGAGAACAGAATTTGAATTATGGTGCATTGGTGACTATAGAATAGTTTTAATGTAAATGTGAAAGGAACCTTTCCTGTTGGCTACTCAAATCAAGCTGTTAATTGTTTCTTTTTGTTTTACTCGTTGCCTCCACAGACAGGTACTTCTGTTCTTAAGCAAACCAGGTTTTCCACACCAAAACGTGGCGCTTCATCACAAATCGGCTGCCCTCCCGTGAGTCCTTCGGTACGATCAAGTAAAGGAAGGTAACACCAAGTTCCCATGCTTGAAATGACTCTGAAGCCTATGAACTGTGTGGATATGAATGTTAAGAGTTAAACGGAAGAGAGACCCTAAATGCAAACAAAGCAAAACAAAACATATGAAAAATAAGGAGGGGGTGGAATCGTTATTAGTGGCCTTTGTTTTTTGTTTGTTTTTGCAAGATAGTAAAAAAAAAAAAAGAGGGAAAAGAAACCTTGAAAGAGTTCGCTCAAGCTATCTTTATAATGAGAGAGAAAAATATCACAGGCTCGCAGGAAGTATGAGCTCTCCCTGCAATTCTGGCTGCTAGTGCTTACACCATTCACCACTTGAGTTCCTTCCCACAGCAGGGAATTGAGAAATGTCTCCAAACACTGAAAAGCTCCATGTCGGGACTGGATGTGCAGTTGATAACCTCTGTTCAGTAAAGCAAACAAGAGCAGATTTTAAGAAAGAGAAAGAATTCTTGTAACTAAATTGGTAGGGTAAGGAAAAGGAGGGGACACAACGCAAACCAATTTCAATTACAAAACCATGACTGCAATGTCACGTGCAAAGTGGAGATAGGGAGTTGCTTCTGGTATGGACCAAAAATACAGTTTAGACGGTTTTAATCCTAAAACTAAGAGATGATTTATATTTACCTCAGTCATGAGTAGAGGTCTGGAAAATGGATGGAATTCGAGTTACAGAATACCATATTTTCATGAGTGCTTATGGTAAGAACAGCAATGTTAACATGTAACCGGAACTTACACGAATACTTGGCATTCTGGAGCTAGTTTAGTTACTTTCGAATGATCAAAGCCCTCCCAACTAAACCATTTGTGATTTGTCAGTTATTCCATTGCAAATGCAGGCTATCTGGAGCAGTCTTTAAATTTGAGATCACATTGTTTAAAAAATATATATTTTTCTATCGTCCAGTACTCTTTAGACAGATGAGAGAGTCAAGTTCCCACGTAGGTTGGAACATACTTCATGTAAGACTGATTTTAATTTAATTTCAGCACTTTCATAGAAGGGACTGTCCCAGATCTGTAACTGTTCAATGTTGTATTCACTTCACAGTGTATCAAGCACCAGCGTTGCCATGGATTGGTTTCAAATAACCCTTTATATATAATTTTATATTTATATATATATAGTTATATCAAAACTGATAGTACATAGTATAACTGGAAGAAAGAACTAAACTTAAAAGGATATGCTGAAAGGATGGAGTCTGTGAACACAATAAATAAAAGTTCCCTCCCCCTCCCAACCAACCCCCCAACAAAACAAAAACAAAAAACCAGTTGTAATGTACATGGAAAATTGTGCACAGCAGATTTTTTTTTTTTTTTTATAAAAAGTAGATTCAGGAGCACATCCAATTATAAATGATTGTTAGGAAAATCATATAAAACAATGGAATACATAAAAGTGTCAAGAGTAATCGTCAGGGTGCGAAATTCCTTGGTGGCCAGATGCCCATGGCAAGCAGAAATTATCCCGGCAGCTTCACTAAGAGGCCGATGTCCACAGAAGATTCTCCAGGGGGTGCAAGCAGCATGGGCAGGTGGAGGATTTGAATTTCATACCCTGATTCATAGTTTTCACAATTCCATGTGCAATTTCAGAAAGATTCATCATTTACTGCTGACATGTCGCCCTTTGGCGTGGAGGAACGGGAGGAGCCCTTGTCTGTGCTCTCCGACCCCGAGCTGCTCTGGTTCTGCTGTTCTGACCCTGCACTGGAGGTCACTGTGGATGAGGACGTCGAGGAGGAGCGAGTCTTTTCCTTAAAGTCTGTGATAATGACGGTGACGTTGCCCACAGTCACTGCCAACTGCTGTGCGGTGCTCCTGTCCACGTTTTTCAGCCGGGGCCTGAAAGCAACACCCCAGGGAACAGCCAATTAAATAAGCTATGGATTCAAAGCAACGTCATCAGTACACACGAGACTTCGTGACACTGTGGCAACGAATCTAAACTGCGACCACGCATACCAAAGCTTACTCCTTTGGCAATAGAAACCAATACTGAACAAAGCTTTGGACCAATGCAAATTATCATCAGTTTATCTTTTTCCTGTTGTGGCCACAGTGATACAGAAATGGCCGAAATATACATATACGTGTGTCTTCAAAGTTAACGGCCCATACCTAGCTCATGCTCCCCCCGCCACACCATTCTCAGCCTGCAAACCCACAGGAACAAAACCGCCCATGGGTTCTTGACTAGGACCAAGTAAATCAGAGCATCGGTGCTGTATTTCATTCTAGTTTCAAATACCTTGAGGTGTGATTCGTTTCACTGGTCTTTGTTGTAGCATTTGCAGACTGTATACTGTTTGCTTCGCTAGGAGGATCTTTCAGAATATCAGACTTTGGTCTAAGGTGGGGACACAACAAAAGGCATTTAAAACACAGCTTAGATTCACCTGCAAAATAATTTATAGTGTGCTGAGTTAGCCAAGAATGGGAACTTACTTTGTTTTCTTGTTGGTATTTTTCTTGGTGACACTAGGACTGATTTCCTTATCTTTCTCAGGTTTCTCTTTGTCTTGCTTTTCCACTTTCTCCTTCTTCTCCTTTTTAGGGGGTGGTGGGGTGGCGTACTGTTGTGCCACTTGTTGTGCCACCAGCTGAGAATTGATCCGAGGTTTTCTAGAACATTCAAGAAAAGACACGTCACTCTTTGCTTTATAAATTATTTCTCTCTTTTTTTTAATTTTGGATTTATAATTTCTTCGGTATTTTATTACTGGTATCTGGCAACTCAAAACTAAACTACTTGTTAGTTCTACACTATTGTGTCTGTGCAGTCTAAGCTCATGAAACGTTTCCTCCTTCAAATCCACCTCCCGCGTATATATATCTACCTTTAATGACACATACACATGTGCTCACAAGTCTTTCAGCCCATAAAACATGACAGTGTTTCTGAGAGTGCTGAGAACACTACTTCTTTTGAGCTGTCAAGATTATACTGACTGACAGCTTTCAAATACTCCTGCTGCAGAGGGTTAATCTCATTTTATTAAATGGACACTGGTAATCCCTTGAAAGGAGAATGAAATTAGAAGTGTGACATTCACTTCTCAATCTAATTATTCCAACTTGCTCGGCTCCCCTGCAGCTCTGTGATTGGCATGGACAACACATATAGAGCAATAAAAGGTAACTGTGGTTCATACTAGCTCCCAAGGGGGTGAAAGACTGAGAGTCACTATAAAAAACCTCAGACAAGTGATACATTCATTGTGCCATCAACCATTCTGTCCCCGCCAATCTCCAACTGACACTGGCTCTTAACACTATTGTTTACAAATTCTAAGTGCTGCCCGACACTGTGCACAATGCAAAAGCATTCAGACCCAAACGGGAAAGGGAGAAAGAAGAGCCTATGCATTATTTCTATACAATATTCATTTTCAAAGACATTCCCATCTAGACCGCCATTTATAATAGAATCAAGTCTCCAAAAACAAGGTAGGAAACAAATACCCGGATGGGCCACTAATGAGGTGACCGGCTGGCTGCTGAATGTAACCATCACCTTCAGACCCTAGAGCTCCCTCTCATCCCTCTCCAGGATGGAGAACTGGGCCGGGAAAAATAACCTGACACCCTAGGTCTGGCTCATCAGTGGGTAGGCCAGTGGATGGAACACCGTGGGGGTGGGGCGGGGGAGGGAACAAACCAACAAATTTAGAAAAACAAAACTTAAGAGCTGCTAGATACATGACATGCTGAAACCCTAAGTTAACCGCTGCGTTCCCTGAGCTCCCGAGCGCGGGTGTGGTGTGGATGAGGAGGAAAGCAGGCAGAGGAGGAGACAAATGGCTCACTCGCAGGAGTTCACCAAGGTGAGCCTGAGCATGGAAGGCACTGGGTTTGCTCTGAGTGTTTCAGTGCTCGTTCGGTGCCCATGTGGCTTTGCCTGAAAACAGACCAACATAGGTGCAACCAATCTCAGATCAAGTTTCCTACCGGCCTCCAGCAACACGGGCCTTGCTCATGGGGTGGTGGCACATGTAAAACCCAGTCACAGGTACCCCTCAGCCTGGACCAAGAGATTCAAACACAGATGGGAGGTACCCTAAGGAAAGGGAGGAGTGTACTTACTCTAAGCCCGCAGTCCCCAAACACTTCACAGCCCCTATGTGAAAGGTCACCTTCTCTTTTCCCAGGTTCTGAGAAAGGCAAAAGCAACCATTCTAACACAAGCTACTCCGCCAAAGTACAAGTTCGAATGTATTAATACTTACAAGGAAGATAAGCACCACTACCAAGCATTCCGCAAGCACTCACTGGGACACAAACAGATCCCCTGTCTAAAGAGATTACGGAGCAATTTACCTAAGTTAAAATAAAATGCCATACGCTAAACGCCGCTCAGGTGTCAAAATGAGTAACCTGGCCAAAATTAATACTGTTAAAAAAGCAGAAAAACTTTATGAAAAACTACACCTTAAGGGAGAGTTTCAGTTAAGCCAGTATGTCCACTTTACTCCAGAGAACTCTGACACGCAAACACAGAGGGGGCCCCTGGACACCTATCTAAGAGAACGTTCCACGGAGACAGAATCCAAGGAAACCACCATCCTAATCAACAGGCCCACCCAGTCTGAGTTAGAGGAGCTGTCTCACTCTAGAACACCCTACAAATTTCTGTCATTTTCAGCGCTGTACTCAATTGTTAATCAACTGTATTCTCCTCAGTGGCAAAGATCACATCTTCATCATTCTTGTCACCATGTCATTCAGCACAGTGGCAGGTACTCAATAAAATTATCTACTGGATGAATAAAGACTAAACAAACATAGCAGAGAAAGACCACGTAAAATGAGACTGGACAACAGGGTTCAAGCTTTGGTGGTCGGGAGGACGGACGTCAATGCTGACTTCCAGGAGAGAAGGCCACAGGGGATCAACAGCTGTGAAGACTTGACGGATTACAGGCTGCACAAGGCCTAGCACAGAGGTGGGGAAACAGGAACCCTTCTCTGAGCATCGTGGTGCTGAGGTAGAGGATAGCTCTGGCCATTATCGAAAGCAACAGGCCAGGTTTGAGATTTCTATAGGAAAAGGAAACTTAAATCATGTTGTACGCTGAAAGAGGGAAAAAGGCCGAAGGCAGACCAAAGAGAGGGGTTAACTCATGGGGCAAAGGAGAGAAAAGTACAATGAAGAAGAGTCCTGGGAAAGGAATGGGGACACTTTTCTTTTGAGACAGGAGAAGGATGCTATGTAAAAAGGGGATTATGAGGAAAAATTAGAGGAAGTCAGAGAGGAGAATCAGAAACCATGGACATTAAAAGTGGTGTATGGTTCGGTGAGAAACAGGCACTAAGAACAAAAAGAGAGCTAGTTATGATCAGAGAGAGAAGGAAATTGCTAATTTTAATTTTTTAATTTGAGTAATTGGAGTAAAGCTGACACACAGTGTTATAATACTTTCAGGTAATTCAACAATTCTATATGCTACACCCACCACAAGTGCAGCTTCCATCAAAAAGGAAGTTACTTGTGTCTTGGGTGTGGGAGCGGACATGAGTGTGCGGGCCATAAAGATGCTCTCAACCAGCCAGACATCATGCTTGTCCAGGATGAAGTATTCCCAAACACGGCCGGCCTGCCAAGGCTCTGGGCATACCATGGCCAACAGGAGAGGTGTCCATGTGTTTCTGCCCCTGGTGATCATTCCCTAACACGTCCACAAATACACTATCAGAATTCTTCTTCAACACATGCAACCATGATTCAGTACCTACATGGAAAAAAATCCACATGTACAGAAAAATTCAGCCGTAATTCTTAATATGCAGCACACGTGCACAGCAATGGGACTATTCTTACTTGCTTCTAAGAAAATGAACAGTGGACTAGAATGGTGAAGTTTAGTGCTGTTCTCCAATAGCCTACCAGGCCACAACCTCATAAATGAAAAGGACCCGAGGCTATTTGGGATCTGATAATAAGCAAAAAAGCAAGGAAATACAGAGTGTCTGCTAAAAGCATCTGTGTTGTTTCAAAAATATTGCTGTTTTATGTCATATATGCCCTAAAATAACAACCTAGCTCCTCAGGCATTACTTGCACCCTCCCCACAAAAAACTCTCCACAACAGACAAGCATTTATTACTTAAATTACTACAGCAGCTTTTTCAACCCCCGCCCCCAAACAAGTCCCATAGAACTTCTGAAGGGTACTGGGGATAAGGTAGGAAATAAACCCAACCAATTTTTTTTAAAAGACTGTATTTTTAAGTAACCTCTACACCCAAGGTGGGGCTCAAACTCAGAGCCCCAAGATCAAGAGTCACATGCTCTTCTGAGCCAAGCAGCCACCTGACATCTAACCAATTTTTAAAGGGTGCACAGTGTTTGGGAGCGAAGTGCATACCAATACTTCCTGGTTCAAAATGCAAAGCCAATTATTTTCGAAGGGGAAGGTAAAGAAAACTAAAAGGCTCACCAGTGTGAACCCCCAAAGTGTGCCCTGTCAGGACAGTTTCCGCAGCTCCTGCCACCTGTCCCCTTCTTGTTCCCAGGCCTGTGTCGTGACTGCATGTGGAAGAAGGCGATGTCCAATGCGCCTGGGGAATGGCACACTTAGCTCCAGTGAAGCCGCTCCAGCCTCTCCAGACAAGACACCGAGGGCTGCCTGGAGTGGCTGAGGCAAGGTCCTTGCACGGCCGTCACAGGAGGGGTGCAGCACCTCTACGGGAGGGATGGACTGTCCCCACTTCATAAAATAAGAAGACTGAGGAGCTGCAAGATAAATTTGTCTAAGGCTAACAATTAAGTAGCTCAGCTGCGATTTTTAACTCGGATCTATCTGGACTCTCTATGGACTCCTGTTACAAAGGTAACCTCAAATAACTCTCTCTGCTTTTCAAGAGTCCAGATGTGTATGTGCACGTGTGTCTGTCTGTCTGTGAGAGACTCGGGCCCAGGTACCAGGGATTTGAAAAACCCAGGTTATCACCAGACAACTCGCCAAGAACACCAGTAGCCACGTGGACCTCACCATCCTCATTGTGGAAAGAAGAGAAAAGGGCAGGGGGGTTGACAAGAATGTTTTCCACTGTCTATGGAACATTCCCAGGAAGGAGTGAACCCTTATCATGATATGGGACACCTGCAGATCAGTAAGAAATCATTCCCTTCCACAGATTTACATTGCCTAATGTGTCATCTAAGTGTCATACAACACACAGTGCATTTAATGGGCACAACTTTCAACATGTTGAAAGGGTCAATTCTTCAATATGCAGGTGCCAGTCTAAGTTCTTCAAAATTACCTGTTTTTCAACTAATAAACCTAAAATAAGCAATTAATAGCCTTCACAATACAGTGAGAAGCACTAGATCAAAGCGCACAGCTTAAGCTTTAGATGTCCACTAAGCCTTGAATTAAAGCCAATCAAATAACAACAACCACAACCACAAACAAATGAAAAAACCTATCTGAGAAATGTTATAAATAGGGAGGCCTAGTTTCCCTTCTTTAGAGAGTAAAGTTGACATTAAAGTTTTTTGTATCTTCTTTTAGACTTTTAATGGGAAAAATATCATCTTAAATTATTTTATAGGTTTATTATTGCTGTTTCAATAAACATTTACGAAGAAAATTTGCTGTGACATTTCAATAATAGAC